GTAGTCCCCCGACCCTCCAAGTACGTCATTCGGGCACCTGCGGCGGACTTTAGCTTCTCACTGGTGCTTAGTAAAGAATGTGGGAATGAGTTATTGGGACGACTAGAGGGGACCTTAGGGGACTAGCATAGGGATCCATTCCCCTATTCCCTGTTAAGAATCTAAGGTCAGAAGTATGGGCCCCTAATATGGACCCTTAGGCCTTTCTAAGGACCCGTAAGTGTACATATAGGGTATATAGTAGGTATACAATGATCCAAGGGCCCATACTACGGGCCCATGGTTTCTTTCAAACTTAGAAAGAACCAGGGAGACGTGAGTTCGGAGTTCTGTCAATGGCCTTCAGAACCTGGCGGCTTCTCGGGGCTTTGGGGTTCAGGGTTTTAGGCTTTAGGGTTTGGGGCTTAGGGTTTAGGGTTTTAGGGTTCAGGGTTGGATAAGAAATCCAGGCCAAGTTGACATCACAAGGAACGCATGTTATGTATGACTTGTACGCATGCTGCTAGCTCAGATTTAAGTCCAGGTCCTACACCGGTCTATGAGTTAGGACAGGACTTTTGAATTGCTATACTAGAGGGGCCTTAAGCTATGTTGGGGGCTCCTTATTGTAATTATAGTATAATGGGCCCAAAACCCTATTATACTGATGATTAAGGCCCCTAAACCCTGAACCCTTATAGTAGCCCTTATAGAACCCTTTAAGGAACCCTTACAGGAACCCCATGGCCAAAGACTCTATTCTTCTTGTTAAGGCCTTTACACTATGCCCCTCGTAACTGAACCCTGATCTGAACAGGTGGGAAGCTACTGTTATAGGAGCCTCATAGAAGGTCTATATACCTTGTGGAAGCCTTATAGAGGCCCTATATACCCTAAACTCCCCACCTGTAGTTTCCTTGAAGTCTGAAGCACCACGAAGGAGCAGCTGAGCTGAATCCTGACCCGAAACCGGGAACCCCAAACCCTTAAGGGTTTAGGGTTTAGGGAGGGTTTAGCGTTTAGGGAGGGTTTAGGGTTGAGGGTTTGGGGTTGAATCCTAAACCCTAAACCTTAAAACCCTAAAGCCCTAAAGCCCTAAAGCCCAAAGGCCCTAAGGGAGGAGGGTTGAGTCCCAAACCCTAAACCCTAAACTGAGGTGAGTTCATGCAGCCCATGGGGACCGCATCGTCCCGGGCGCAGGAACCCTCCACCATCACATCCCAAGGCCGTCCAAGAAAAATTACCAGTAATATAGGGGCCTTAATCATTACAACAGGGTTTTTGGGTGCTTTATAGTACTTTATAGTATAATTATAATAAGGACCCCCTCAAAACAATATAGGTAATTATTAACGCCCCTATATTACCATTAGGCCGGGGTTCCTCATGATATTTGTACTATAATATACACCCAAGACCCTGTTCTGATCTTTAAACCCTGAACCCCCAAACCCTAGACCCCTAAACCCTGAACCCTGAAAACCCTAAACCCTAAACCCTGAACCCTGAAAACCCTACTAAAGCCCCTTACTGTGTTCGACCTTTGGTTTATACCGTATAGGGTTTTAGGGTTTAGGGTTTAGGGTTTAGGGTTTAGGGTGATCCTTCGTATCGTTCGAGGTGTTTTCCTCCACTACGGGGTTTTGGAGTCTCTAGGGCGTCACCTAATATCTAGGACATTTTCAGGTGGGTAGTTACCGTTATAGGAGCCTTATAGAAGCTTTATATACCTTATGGAAGCCTTATAGAAGCCTATATTCCCCAAACTCCCCACCTGTAGTTTCGTTTAATAATATAGAAGCCTAAACCCTAAACCCTAAACCCTAAACCGTAGGGTTCCTTATCGCACTTATACGATAAAGGAGCCCAGCACCCTGCTCTAATTATTAAGGCCTCTCCACCCCAAACCCTTATAGTAGCCCTTGTAGTAAGTTTAGGGTTTAGGGTTTAGGGTTTAGGGTTTAGGGTTAAAGGAACCCCAAAAACCCTATTCTATGTATTACTCTTCGGGGTTCGGTGGAGATTGGGGTTGGTGAGGCCTCGGGTTCGAGGGTTTAGGCTTTATGTTGGAGTACTGAGGTCTGATTATCTATTTATGATCCTGGTTTATTCATGTTAGAATGTATCCGTAAAGCCCCAAATCCTAAACCCCTAAACCCCTAAACCCTTAAGGCAACTGCAGTAGAGATTCGAAGGCCAGCTCGTCGCCGGTTCTTTGGCCACCAGCCTCGACAACTTGCAGGAGAAGCTCTCGTACAACCTCCCGGTGGGAGAGTGGAAGAACAGGTTGGGACTTTGAATGTTTCGGGATAAGGGATTTCGGGTTTAGGTTGAGGGCTTAGGGTTTAGGGTTTAGGGTTTAGGGTTTAATGTTAACAGCTTAGGATTTAGGCGCTACGGTTATGGGTTTAAATAGTTTAGGGTTTGGAGTTCAGGGCTGAGGGTTGGGACTTTGGAGGTTTAGGCTTAAGGACTCTCAACCTATTTCAGTGGGACGGTGGCAGAACTTGTCGGGACCTTCAGAAAGACTCTATAGGGTTTAGATGTGAAGGTATAGTTCCCCTTTCAGGGTCCTCTCTAGCAGTACACAGCAGTGTCGGGAAAGTCGGCACCTCAATCTAAACACTGAGTAAAGTCATCTTTGATACAAGAGCCACCACACAGGTACTCACAATTCTGCGAAAAGCAACATACAAACCATACAAACACATAAAGGTTCTCTCACTATTGCTTTGGTTTCGTCAATGGAGTTCTACGGTATTCCACCTCCAAAGCATTATTCTAGTTGCTGAGGCCCCTGTCCTAAACCTTAAGCCCTAAACCCTCAATCCCAAGTCTAACCCCACACCCTAACCCCTAAACCCTAACCCCTAAACCCCAAACCCTAACCCCTAAACCTTAACCCCTAACCCCTAAACCCTAAACCCTAAACCCCTAAATCCCTAAATCCCTAAACCCCTAAACCCCTAAACCCCTAAATCCCTAAACCCGTCAAGCATTGGGCTCCAAGAGGTCGACGACGCCCTGGGCTATGCGGCCTCTGAGGGACGGACGTGTGGCCCTGGTTTCTTGGTCATCAAAGCAAAGATGCCACACTGTCTTCATCTGCGACTTGGCTTCAGGGTTTGGGGGTTTAGGGTTCAGGGTTTAGGGTTCAGGGTCTAGGATTTAGGGTTTAGGGCTCAGGGTTTCCTATACTGGCTCGTATAAGAGTTCCTAGTTTGGGATTAAGGTTGAGAGCTACATATGCTGGCTCCTTTAAGGGTTTAAGGTCTCGTATAAGGGTTCTTCGAAAGGGTTTTAGGGCTTAGGGTTTAGGGGTTTAGGGTTTAGGGTTTAGGGTTTAGGGTTCCTATGCGGCTTCTTTACAAGGGACACAAGGTTTTAGGGTTGCCTTAAGGGTTCCTGGCATCCGTGACTTGGCTTTTTGGTATCTTTTCAAGCTTCCTTTATGGCTTCAAGCTGTTTTCATCTGTGCCCCTGAGCTAGATTTGCACAGCCTTGTCATTAGAGGCTTATTTTGGGACTGCGAGCTACCATTGTTAGGGTCTTTGAGGCCTTAGTTGCATCTTCATGAACGAGCCGTGTCCTTCTGATTTGGTGCTGAGCCGGTTCGGGTTAGGTGTTGAGGATTAGGGTTTAGGGTTTGGGGTTTACGTGTTGAGGATAAGGGTTTAGGGTTTGGGGTTTGGGTGTTGAGGATTAGATTTTAGGGTTTGGGGTTTGGGTGTTGAGGATTAGGGTTTAGGGTTTGGGGTTTGGGTGTTGAGGATTAGGGTTTAGGGTTTAGGTGTTGAGGATTAGGATGTTAACACACACTTGAGGATCAGGGTTTAGGATTTAGGGTCCCTAAACCCTAAACC